GGGAGGGGTCGGTCCGCGGTGCCCCCTGGACCAAGAGTCCCCTGCTGTGTGTAGGAGAAGTGCATGGACAAGCCGGGTCCGAAGCTGGACAGCCGGGCCGAGACGTGCTTCGTCAACTGCGTGGAGCGCTTCATCGACACCAGCCAGTTCATCCTGAACCGGCTGGAGCAGACGCAGAAGTCAAAGTCGGCCTTCTCAGAGAGCCTGTCCGACTGAGCGGGACCCGCGCCCCGGGGGACGCCGGCCACCCCCCTCACGAGGCCAGGTCTTCCGCTGCACCGCTGCTCCGGGTCACCTGAACGAGCCAGGATCAGCTCTGGGGTTTAGGATTTAATTAAATGCCAGTCTCGGGGAAGTTGCAGCCAGATGAGAGCCCATGACAGAGGCGCGGTCGCACCTCCTGAAGGGGATGTGCTGCTCCTGGCCCCGTGGGCCAGCAGCCGTCTTCGTGCCAGGGCTACGGATGATACGCAGGGAGCGTTGGGAATGCAACTCGCTCTCGGCTGAATGGGAATTCCAGCTCTGGGTGAGGCCAGCCTGCAACTGCTGTCTTCAACGGTGCTGCCTAAAGTGAACCCTCCTGGGTAGATGCCAACATGCCCTGCAGGTGCCGTCGCTCTGCAGTCCAGTCCCGCTGTCCTTAGCATTGGGCATGGTGACCATCCCAGGCGGTGTCACTACTGGGAAATACTTTCAGGCACCCATAAGCAAATCATTCATGTGGCTAAGTGACCAATCTCCAAATCGCAGCACAACTCTGTCGATACCGACTTGCTCCATTAACTGCTTTCCCCTGATCAATGTAATAAATATTAACTGGGTCAATTTTTAATGAGATTCTCCTTTGTTCAGGTAGATGACCACTGAGAATTGGAAATCTGGCCTTCGTGTCATTCCCTCTCCTTCCCAGTGATCCCAGTTATTGCCAAATTAGTAGGGAGGGGGCATAATTGTCTTCTGGCTAGAAGGCCTGCTATGAATTTGTTGCTCAATTAATTTTGTCCCATGCATCAAACTTGTTTCTGGGAGAGGCTGTGGCCTCTCTTTCTCTTCCCCAAAGGGTTAACAGCTCCTGCTGTCCTGTAAAGGAGAAGTTTCTTTAGAGGGACTAAACACGGGAAGAAACCAGATACTTTATAACCTCTGCACTTTTACCTGTGGAGGTCACTGGAGGCAGGCCTACAGCTGTGTCTCTGGACCTCTGCCCCAGGACACAAAGAGGAGCTTCTAACTGGAAAAACAACAAACTCCTGATCCGCCCTCTGGGAAGGCAGTGTAGCATTTCAGCAGTGCTTCCGTGCAGCGTGGCTCTGGGAAGCCCAGAGAGATGCACAGACAGTGGCTCGGAGCTCTGCACAGGAACCTGGAAAACATTTCTGCTGGACAGGGCATGTGAGCTCCTAACGTGGGTGGCTTGTAGCCAGCAGCCTTCCTGGGAACAAATTCAGGATGTTTTGAACAGAGCTATGCAGGTATAAACCCACATAAGTTAGGAAAGAGCTGTCTGGTTCTCTTTCAGAAACTTCATTCAATAGCTAAGGACTCTTGGGTCACTCCTGTTCCCACAGTAAGCGATTCCCACTCCTGTCCCTGTCTTGAGTTTCTCTTGGGCATCCACATGGTTCTTCCTGTCCCTGTAATCCCTCATGCCTCAGCTCTCGGTACAAACGTATCGCTAGGTACTCAGTAACTGAACAAATCGGTTTTTAATACAATACAGTAAGCAGGTGCTTCATCAACCTGCACAGCAGACATTGCTTGAAGAGGCTGGTCCCTCCGTAAGAGCCACAGCAGCACGTGGCAGCACCACTGAAGTTTTCCAGTTTGGGCTATGTTCTGTTCTTGGATGTGAATCTGTAAATAAATTCTAGCAGACTGAGCAAAACAAGTACTTGACAGAGGAGTTTTTGAATTCATATTCTGGGCATGTCATCTTGAAAGTCAGACATCTGTCTTCTCTCCGCGTAATCTTAGCACCATGTTAGATTATTTTATAAGTGTTAATCTCCTGTTAGAAGATGCTGTCAGGGCTCCCCAAATGCGTGGTTTCACATTCAGGAAGGGTTAGCACTGTGTTAGTGCTGCGGCCCTCTGCGCAGCCAAAACCTGTGTCCTGACAAGGACAGATCAATTCTTCACAGAAAAGAACATTAAAGAGGCACTGGGGCGGTTCCCAGGGCTCCTGTCTGCAGCCACAGGGGGCTGATGTCCCTGTTGGCCTCGCAGCAGCGGCAGCTCACCCATCTCATGCCTGGGGCAGGGAGATGGTCACTGCCAACCCCTGCTAGCGCAGCAGTAGCTGAGGCAGCACGTCCAACCTTGCAGAGAAGCTGCTCAGCAGTGGGGGCAGAAAGCTGGCAGTCCAGAGGCTTCCTCACACGCTTTCACCTTCCTCCTCCTCTTCCTCCTGTGTGCTCTGAAAGCCTTTGTCCTCCGAGGGGAGGAGAGGCTGGTGCTGGTACGACTGATGTCTGTCCACGCTCCTCCACGAGGCATGCAGGTCTGCCCTGCCCTGCTGCAGGAAGAGGGGCAGGAGGTCGGGGGGGAAGGGCATGTCCCTGAAGGCGTGCAGGAGGAAGATGCCGGACACGATGGTGAGGAAGCCGCTGATGGTGCCGATGATGTTGGCTAGCACCATGTGCTGCCACTCCTTGAAGAGGATGGCAGAGCACATCATGACTGCCGTGGTGAACAGCACGTAGTAGATGGGGGTGACCACGGATGTGTTGAAGATGTCCAGGGCTTTGTTCAGGTAGTTGATCTGGACGCTGATGCAGATCACCAGGCACACCAGGAGCACCCAGCCCAGTGGTTCCTTCAGGACTGGCTTCCCAGAAAAGAGTTCTTTCAGGGCAATCCCCAAGCCTTTGACACAGGACACGGAAAGCGAGCCGATGGCAGAGCAGACCAGAACATAAACCAGGACGTTGCTCTGTCCGTAACGGGGTCCAGCCACAAAGATGAGCAGAAGGGAGCTCACCAGGACACACACAGCAAATACAATGAATCCTGGGGGAAAGAAGAATTAAAGAGCTCTATCAGAGAGCTGTAACACCAGTGATGGATGTAACTGAGCAGCAACTAGAGATGGAGGACAGGCAGTAACTGCCCCAGTCTGTCTTCCCTCAGCCACGCCACTGCCACCCTCTTGTACAGGAATTCCCTCTCCTATCCCGGCACTGCCACAGGCCAACCCCTTCTGCTGACAGCTGCAGCTACGTCCCATGCTCTTCACTTTTTGCATTCATATCTCATAGACACTACCAAAAAAAGCAACACTTAGTAACTATTAATGACCCAAGTTCTCATCCTTGCTTCAGCACAGACCCAGCACTTGGGAGCATCACCCAGACTCCCTCTCTGTGAAGTGGGTTCCCATCTGCTTCTTTCAAATGGGGTCAAGAGGACCTGACAGTTTCAAAAAGCCATGCTGAAGCTGACACGTCCCCCTGTGTTTTGAGCTAGTTAATAAGGTGTCAATCATCTGAGCACGAGCATTAAATGCTGTTTGAGTGTCACCAATCTTTCACACTTAAGAGTGTGGAGACCCCAACCTTTTTCCATGGCAGAAAGCAACTCACAACCTACCCTGGACAGGGTAAGCTCGATTACCCTTTAGTTCAGTCCTTTCCAATCTAGCCAAGTTGCATCCTACCTTCTACTGTCATTTCCAAGCCTTAAGTTGACAGGACCCCTTTTATTTAAGTACCTGGATCTTTCAGCTTCTCTGCCATTGACTCCAGGCTGGAAACCTCTTCTTCCTGGGGAGCATGGATCACCATCACTGTGGAGCCCAGGATACTGAGGATGCAGCCAATCTTCCCATGAACATTCAGCTGCTCACTCAGGAATGTGGAAGACAGAACTGCACTGAAAGACAGTAAAAAATACACCAAAACCAATTAAGCCAAGGGATGGAGTACCCCAGGGAAAAGACAGGAAAGCAGAGCAACTGCTTTCACCACTATGGGGTGGTGGGTGAGGCAAGGGTGTTTCTGAGGCTGCTTACCTAACAAGGACACTTAGAGCACCCAGTGGAGTTACTAGCGTTGCAGGGGCAAAGGCATAGGCAGCAAAATTTGCCGCTTCTCCAACTCCCACTGCAAGAGAAACTCTGTCAGGTGAGCACCAAAACCGGAGCAATTCAGCATAATGCAAGTTGGAGTGCAGTCATAAGAGTGCCTTGGTTTCCACCTGAGCATCCTGTGTCTCTCTGAGGTGTGTCGTGCAACCAGGAAAGAACAGCACCAGCGAGAACAAGGAGAAGCCCAATACAGGTTCTCTTGGGAAGAGAAGGCTCACGGTTACACGCGGTGATCCTTAGCCACACATGGCTGCGTAGCTGAGCAGTAACCAGGGAAAAGTACTTCCACAAAGTCCTCAAAGCTGAAATGAGTTTTGATCTGTTTCATATTTCTAAGTCATGTTCTTCTCCTGGAACAGCTTTTACAGCTTTTTAAAGGGTAAATCAAGTGCAGTTGGTTATTAATGCCGAAAAGTGTAAAACAGAGCTGCTGAAATCGCTGTAGCACTAAATCCATGGTGCTGGATGTGCCATTGTAACTACATCATCTGGGCAGGCCATTTCAGAAGCACCTAACCCAGTCAGACCAGCTCCACAACTCCTGTTTAGCAGAGAAACCTGGTAATGCACAAGCCGTTAGAACATTTGAGAGTTATAATTAGGTCGACAACATCCTCAAATGCTCAGATAAAAACCAAGCAGTCAAACGACAATCATAACAACAAAACACCAAAGCAACTGGAAACAATGACAAACACACTCCTAAGCATGTCTTGTTTCGGAGCAAGTACTTACTGCACAGCAGCCCGGCCCACCAAAGCCATTCCTGCAGGTACGCGTGGCCTCCTTGCCCTAAGCCAGGAAGAAAAAGTAAGAAGAAACCACAGACGAAGCAACACAAGACGCACGTTATCCTGCCAGGGCGGCCTGGAGACAGAAGTGGGAGCAGCCTGAGCCACTCTCCATGCAAGGCTGCGATTCTTTCGCCCCAAAAGCAAAGGTTTTCTCCCCTGGTTCATTTAAAAGACAGCGGTTTCAAGAACACACGAGTGGCTGCAGAAACCTCTCTCTGTGGCCGTGGGCTAGCTACCCCTGCGGAAAAAGTAAATTTTTAGACCCAAAAGCCCCACAAGCGAGGAGGGGGCGGCCAAGTCCCACCCCCGAACTGTTCGGGGAGCGC